GAAAGGCGAACCTACCTACTTCTCACATGACCACAGGACGCAATCGACGCTCGACCTGACGTTCACCAACCCGAAGGCGACAGAACTCGACACGGCTCGACACTGGCGCATAGACCAGGACATGTCGTTCGGGTCGGACCACTTCGCTCTGAGATGGGAGATCGACCACGGAGCCGCGGAAATCGAAAACATCGCAGGAGAGCGATACAACTTCAAGGACACGGACCCGAAGGAGTGGGGAAAAGCCTTCAGGACAGCGCTCCAGGGACATAGTCGGGCACTAGGCCGACTGCAGGACCGGCGGACTATACTTACGCCAGACCAGGTGGACGAGGCGGCTGACGCGATAACAGCTGCCATGCAGGAAGCGAACACCACGGCAGCAAAAGTCAGGAAACCGAGTGATAGAGCACGGCCGTGGTGGAACGCGGAGTTGCACGGCGCAGCAAAAAGGATCGCAGACTTACGTTCACAGAGCCTAGCGCACATCCAGCGCTGGGGGTCCCAGGCAACAGCGACAAACGTGAAGATAAAGAAGTCTCGGAACTACTTCAAGCGGCTATACAGGAAGGCACGCCAGAAGTGGATCACGGACACGCTCGAGGAAGCGACGTCAGCGGATATCTGGAGCTTCACGAAGTGGGGAAAAGGCGTGCGATCGTACCAGTCCCCAGCCATCTCGAGAGGACCAGGCCAAGAGCCCGCGGTCGCGCACAAAGACAAGTGCGACGCGCTGCGGGACGAGCTCTTCCAACCACCACCACCACTAGACGGCATCCCCGACAATGACCTGGAGAACGCGCACGAGGAGGACTTCCCAGACGAAGACATCACAGCCGATGAGGTGAGGCGTTCCATATTCGAACAAGGCGCAGACAAAGCCCCCGGCTGTCGCAATGCCAGTTTCGTGTCATACGATGGGCCTGGAAGGAGGCCCCGGACTTAATCACTACGCTGATGCATCACTGCCTACAGACTGGATACCACCCACGCGCCTGGCGAAAGGCGATTGCCATCGCCCTGCCGAAACCCGGTAAACCAGACTACAGCAACCCACGGGCGTACCGACTGATACAACTCCTCGAGTGTCTAGGGAAGACACTCGAGCGCATCGTCGCAAACCGCCTGGCGTATCTGGTGTCAACACACAACCTTGTCCCAGCAAACCAATTCGGGGGTCGCCCCGCAAGCTCTACGGACGACGCGATCCTCACCTTCGTACACGACGTCGAGGCAGCCCATAACCACGGCAAAGTCACGTCCGCACTCACCTTCGACATCAAAGGATTCTTCGACTTCGTCAACCACAAGCGCCTGCTCAACGTCATGCGAGCAAAACATCTGCCACTCCAACTCGTCCGATGGACCGCGACGTTCTTATCAGACCGCGAAGCCGCCATCTGCCTAGACGGGATACGCGGAGACATGAAACCAGTCACGAATGGCATACCCCAAGGCTCCCCCATATCCCCCATCCTATCCATCCTCTACGCCGCCGAACTCCTGGAAATGTTCCAAGAGAAAGCCCGCACCCATGTCGAAGCAATGACCGCCAAGCTCAAGCTCCCCGACAACCCCTGCGAAACCAGCCTGATCATGTTCATCGACGACGGGAAGATCTACGTCTCGTCAGAGTCCCTCGACACAAACATCCGGATACTCACCCTGGCATACAACGACGTAGAGGCCTGGCTGACGAGCGTCGGGCTGTCGCCCGACCTCGTTAAACGAGAACTCATGCATTACTCGATGAAACAACGCAAACCAAACGACTCACCGTCAATCACCCTACCAGGAGCAAACGGCATACGCATAACCATCCAGGCAACACACACGACCAAGTGGCTCGGAGTCCACCTGGACCGCCGCCTAAACTTTGACCACCACGTTAAACAGATGGCTGGACGAGCGGAGAAGACCGTAAACGGCATGGGGATGCTCGCAAACACGGTACGAGGGCTCTCCCAAGAACACCTGAGGACGCTATACACCGCATGCGTACGTCCAATACTGACATACGCGTGCCCGGCCTGGTGGAGAGGCAAGAAGGCACACGAACACGCACTGGAGAAGGTACAGAACCGAGCACTGAGACTCATCTGTGCCGCCTTCAAGACGACGAAAATCGTGGCGATGGAAATCGAGGCCGCTATCCTACCCATCCGACACCACTTAGAACTCACGAAAGACCGCGCCGCCATAAGATTCAACAAACTCAGCGCCCACAGCCCGATCATCCGACGCCTCCCAGAGGGATGGAACATACTACCAACCTCGACACCAGCTCCCCCGCGTCCCACTCACCGCAAAGTGACAGCCCGCCGCAAGACACCCCCTGCCTCCACTCGACTCTGCAACCTTGCGAAGAGATCGGACCCCAGCGACGAGCGCATAGTGCCGCTCGCCGTACCGCCATGGAAGAAGACCCCGGCCGACTTTGGAGGCCGACTGGTGATCACGCCGGCAGTCAAAGGAGTGACGAAGAACGAGGCAATGAAGATGCACAACGGAAAGTTAAGCAAACTTAAACGGTCACGAGAAAATGTGATGATCTACTCTGATGGCTCCCTACTCACAGAGAACGGCCAACGCCGTGCCGGCGCAGGCTTTGTCGTTGCCCAGCAGAACAAGATTCTATTCAAGAGGATAATAGCCATGAGCAGGAAATCGGAGGTCTACGACGCGGAGATGCTAGGACTAGCAGAGGCGGCCGTCGACATGGAAGAATACCTCCAGTGCGACGACGCTCGAGACATCAGCCACCTACACTTCTTCGCCGACAACACCGCCGCGATCTCAGCCATCTTCGAGGCGAAACCAGGCCCCTCGCAGATCCACTCGATAACCTTCAGGAATTTCGCCATACGATTCCTGGAAGCAAGCCCCAAACATCGAATCACAGTGGCGTGGAAGCCAGGCCACAAGGGCATCGTCGGAAACGAAATTGCAGACGTACTAGCAAAGAAAGCTACGGAGGAAGAAGGCCCGAACCAGTACGCGACACGAGCCAACGCATTGCGCAGAGCGAAAGAACGTGCAACGAACGCGTGGATAGACGAGTGGAAAAAGACACACCCAACAGGCCACTTCGCAACAGCGAACCGTCTACCACCACAAACCAAACCAAGAAAACCCTTCCTAACTCTTCCACGAGAGTTATTCGGACGTACGCTCCAATGCCGAACGGGACACTGCTTCATAGGCGAGTACTACAAGTCGTTTGTACCTACTGAACCGGTCGACTGCCCATGCGGCGACCCATACCAGTCACGCCGCCACATCCTCCAGGACTGCCCACGATACGAGAAGCACCGACACATCCTACGCGCGGTGAGCACGACGATCGACTTGCCGACCATCCTCGGCACAGAGGAGGGGATAGACGCCCTTGCGAAGTTCATCGGAAAAAGCAACGCGTTTACGAAGACGGGAGACCCGCCAGGCGGATGGCGCGAAGAAGACCAGGACCAGGAAGCGAGAGAAGAAGACGCGGAAGACGAAGACGACGAAGACCCGAGCGGAGAGGAAGACCAGGACCAGGACGGAGGAGAGGCGGAGAACGACGAGGGCGACGAAGACTAAACGGTACTAGCTGCACGGCGAAGTACCGTCCCCACACCCTACCCAACACCACCATCGACACATCGTGCACTAGGGGGGCAATCCCGGCTTGCGCCCCTAGGAGAAAGACACCGGAGTGCCGAGATATGGACCGTATGCTTTCCCCTCATTTCTCGCTTCTTCATTATTCTCTATCTTTATTACCATGCGCGTTACGTCCCGACCTCAGACCACACCATTAGACCCCGTCTCACAACCCGATTAGATTGCCTGCCCATTACTATACACACATCACGTCTATAGACTACTATACCACCTCGAACGGGACGCAGGTCTGGGTGGCGCGTTTTAACGCCCACATTTGTACAGGCCGGCGTCCGCCGCGTCTTAGCACGTTGTTTGCTTGTTGCGGTTAATAAATGCTGAGTTCATCATCATCATCATAGATCCCCAAGTCCAGCACAGGTAAACGCCTGCCGCTTATTCAGAACGGCCGTGGTCTAGGGCAAAAACTATGGCTGATGGGGCTTGGCCAGAACACTGTTGCCTACGCGATGAGAGGTACGTCACCGTTATCCGAGGACTCGCTCCTCGTGTGTCGTCTGTAGTCAGCGTATGCGGCACAGAGACGATGCCGATGCCGATGCCTTCACCGGAGACATGTGCCGGAATGGGAACGCCCTAAATGGGGCTCAAATGCTTTCCCAAATTGTGACCGATAGGACGCAATTTGGGGTCAGCGGATATTCGAGCCTAAAGTATCCATATAAGGCAGGATATTGGCCCGCCGAAAATCTCGGGCGTAAACGTAGAACACGGGACGGGCGTGTATTCAAGTTAAGAGACGACGGATAAGGGGTGAGACAATATGCAAGACCAAAGTTCAAAAACGGGATTACCATACGAGGCCACCGTAAACTCGGCCGAGAATGCTATCAGTAGGTTCGTCGTAAATGGTGTCTGAAATGCAAAATATACGACACTCGTAAATTTTGAATTTGGGCTCGTCGCGTATTCGAGCGCAAATGCTGGGCTTAGGACGAGATTTGGGCAACTCGCAAATCTCGGGCAGAAATGCTGGATTTTCGGCGGCCCTATATGAGCGTGTCGATCATAGCCCCCTGAGTGGCCCGCTGAGCGGCGTCGTGATCGTCTATTGCAATACCTTAGTGTAGAGGAGTCTCTCAATTTCACATCAGTTTGTCATAAAACACGCGGAATGACATTACGGGTCCAGAACAGTATCTATAATGCATGAACACGAGCACAACCACGATCAATCAGTCCAAGCATGTCAACCAATCCAAGCACAATCAACCAGTCCAACCATTCGTCCATCTCGAGTGCACACATTGGCGTGCAATGAAGTTCAATTTGACAACTACAACAACGTGGTCAGTGATTCACATTATGACAGTGAAGAAAATGAACATACCAGGTTACACTGCGTGCACCCAGTCTTCCGTTGAACTCCACATCAACGTTACGAACGACGGCTTCGGAGCAGGCGGGCGATGATAGTACGGACGGAGTGGTGAGACGTCGGCATATTGGACATCGGTGTGGAACTGGAAGATGGCTAGCCACTTCGAGGGCATAAACCACTTCCGCATCTTCGCGGCTAGAGGTAGCTCGCACGCTGCCTCCTCACATACGAGGAGGTAGGAGTCACCGAGGTCGGACACAACGCGGAAGAGAACTTTCGACGCGCCTACGGCACAGATTTGAGCGAGGCGACCGTAATATGTGCGGTTATTGTCTGCCACCACGAGACAGATGGGCTGGCCCAGGCCGAGCGGCTGGCTGAGGCTGGTTGCGACTGCACCAAAAATGTAGCTTCCGCCGAAGCGCGGGGAGATGGCGGCGATGCGATATGCGCCGATCGACGGGCAAGAAAGAGGATCGAAAGAAAGGTCTAACGAGCGAAGGGGCGGCGTGCAGCCAGCTAACGACGACAGGGAGCGGAGAGGCATTGTGGGGGGTGCGTCGTTGAGAGGACAAGCGACGCACCCTTGACTATATAGAAAAATACTTACGGCATGCGCTCAAGCGCCATCCCATGAGAGGCTCGCTAATTTGTATGGGGCGATCATGACTACGGTACGAAGCGATCAGAAGCGTACATATGGACACTAGTGGGCGCCACTTACATACTGATGGACCGCCTAGCCTTCGTAGTCGAGCTGGTCGCCGATGGGTGCGCTTGTGTCTGCAGCGCCTGACCCCGCCAAGAACTCTCACGGTTGTTTGACAAAAGACGCATTGTATATTGTCTACAAGTTACGCGACGACAGCTTTGTCCGTACTAGTAATTACGACGCCCCTGACTATATGAAGGTCAGAATTTTTCTGTTATACAAGAAAAACGCACACTTACATGGAGTGGGAGGCCCGGAATATAGACTGGCCTGCCTACAGCAAGTGTATGCTTCACCGCCTGACCTTGGGCTGCATACCAATGACGGTCGTAGAAATTAATGGGCAACTTGGGGATCACCTTGCGACCCGAAATCGGCGCCTTGAGAAGATCGAACGTCCTGAGGTAGGGCTTGTTGCCCGCTGCCGAACCCCCCACCGGATAGCTTTCCAATGCTTGCATCAGGTCTGCTACTTCCGCTGCACGCCAAGGGGTTCGCGCGCGCGTAACGGTTTTCCTCTTGGGGGTAGAGCCATCGTCCGTATGATCGGAACTCATCGCGCCGACATTGAGGAGGTCGACGACCTTCGCAACCTCCTTCCATAAATCGGGGTCGGTCTCGAAGTTGAGGCGAACGATGCGCTGCCGACGCTCGTATGTCTGAAATATTGTGTAAGTAAAGCCAAGAAAACACGAATGCAGGCTTACCCCATTTCGCCGGACATTGCGCCTAGTCTCCGCCTTGAGTTTGCTTTTCTCTTCAACGTAAGCTTCGGCAGTAAGCAGCCGGTGCTTGTTGTAATCCGTCTGCACCTTCTGTAGCTTCTTGGTTAGGTTGACATATACAGCCGGACGGGCTGGGCAGTCCCTGACTGTGAGCGGAAGGTGCATGTTCACCGCGATCTCCCCGAGGAAGGCGTTAGAAAGTACGACAATCGTCTCACTGTTCCACGCTTCACTCATTGGAGTATCCCAATCGAGGAGCGGGTGAGACGTATCAGGCCCTGGCCCATGACCATTCAGCCACGATTGGACCGTGAATAGGGTTGCCGAGATTGGTTTGACTCGTTCGTATTTCAGCGGCACATTCTTGGCTTTCAGCCAGTCACGGAAATACCGCTGACAGATCATTAGCATTCGTAAGTAATGAAAGGCTCCCGGAACTCACGTTGAACATATTGTGATCACGCGGACCCCGCTTCACACCCTTAGTACGAACCACTTCGTCATCTTCCTCATCATCGCCGTCCTGGTCAACGGGATCGCCATTGTTGGCAGACGTAGTCTTCACTGCAGCAGATGGTGATACCTGGGTCCCGCTCTGTATACTTCTGGTCAATATCTGCATTGAAGTTACAACAGAATGAATACCTGATCCTTCGCTCCCTCGGGCAACGTCTGCTGGACTTGCTCGATCAAGGATCTCTGTATTTTCGGTCAAATACGCCGCCGGACCGCCAACTCATTACTCACCGCCTTATCAGGATGGTCCATAGCTAGGTTGTTTAATAGATCCCTCTTGGTGGCGATCAGCATGGGAGTGCAAAACGAGGTATACTACAGGCACACCAATTTATCCACACGCTGGTCTGGTGTCAATGGGGCCAACCGGGGCGGCGACGATGCCGCCAGCTAAAGGAGTGTACACATTAGCGTTAGACTAAATGCTACGTTCTTCAATACTCGCCATTGGCTTGCGAACGGGCGTGGCCAGCACAGAACTATCCTGATCGATAGTTTGGAACCGCGCGTCCTGGACAGCGCCTTCGACCTCCCGTTCTTCCATGTCGTCGTTGTCTGGACACGAGATGCTCAGCTACAGTAGTTTTTTAAAGAAACAGGTTGAGCATACCTGTATCAGCCGACCGTCCAGCACCACCGTCCATGGGTTCATCGCCTTCGGGCACACCAGCCGCTGCTGCATCGGCATGCTTCCAGTAAACAGTTAGTGAGTGTAGAACGCGACATAATGAACTGATCTGAGTACCTTGTTCATCCCCAAGAAGTACCATCCATTGGTACCCCTTAACAGCTCCCTCGGTTGCTGGCGATCATCGCTCATGGTGAACTGGGGCGAAGACGGCGGGACCTGAGATATAAATACGTCCTAAGGACGGGTAACTTAGTACAGCTGCACGACGATAGACAATGGGACTGTCGTGCCGCAGACCGTGGTGGGATCGGTTACAAGCGGCGGATCATCAGCAAGGACAAAAGGACACGCTTACCAGTCATCTTTTGACGATTGGTGCGGCCCTTCCCCGAAGGGTAGACAAAGATTAAATATATGGGAAGCGATCACAATGACTCATACAATGTACACGGGTCTTAAAACGGCAACAGCCACCATATCCGGTCCGTACTGAGAACGACTACAACTACGCTAACAGTACTACATGCTCCAGTAGATCCTCAAATGGAGAGTCGTTACCGTCAAAAGGCTTCACTATAACTTGTTTTCCGGCGACGCGTGTCACCTGGCCTGCTCGTCCTTTATGCTGGCCGCGGACAACCAGCACCTTTTTGCCTTTACCTCCGGGTATAGTATGTAAGTAACGGATCGGAAACTCGGCGATCCGGGCAGGCGGAGCTAAGCTTCGTATAACGACCGCAGGCTGAGACTTCACGGTACACAGCTCTGCGGTCTTGTCCGTCTTCACCATTTTCGACTCCCACTCTCCACCGAGAAAGACTTCCGGGCTCTTGGTTCCACGGATGATAACGCGGACTTCGTGACTTCGAAGCGCAGATCGCATGTCGGGATCATACAACCACGCACAGGATAGATCTAACATCGCGTGAGACGATTGAAAGGTCAATAAGCTCATAACATACCTGGGTCCACTCTAGGCCCTGCGCCAAGTCCCCAACCCAACTCCTCTGCCCTCTCCAAATAATCCGGCGCCGATGGATCAAGGTCTGACATCTGGGGCTCTGGCGTCCGCTCGCGCCTAAGCCGTGATCCCTCCACTTCCCCTGGTATAGTGAAGGGTGTTGACTCCTTACTCGGGTCTAGCGGCACGAGGAGGCCGTCCCTAAAAACCTTGAGAACCAGTAGATACCACGTTGTACGTCACTTACCATATCAAGGCGAGATGTCGCCAATGCACAGGGTATGTGCGCCCTCTGGGCGCGTCCAGCTCTACGATGAAATGGTCTTCTTGACCGAGGGCCTTGACTATCCCCTGTAGGATTTGAAGGGGCCGTGGGTAATGGCAACGCGTTTGCTGATGCACAGATGTCGCCGTGATCGCAAGTCCGCCACCGTCTGCACCTCCAGAAGGGACGGATGCAGGGTGGACGCATCAAGGTTGGGCGCAATGGAAAATTGGTTCCAGCCGGCCCGTTTACCCCTTGCAGCATGACGGGGGGGATCGTAGAACTGTACGAACCGTGCATCCACAGTCACCTGTCGCATAGTAAGTACTTGATGCGTATATGGAACAGAGATACGTACGTCAGCCTCACCGTTAGGGGAAACAATGCTGAGCAATCCACCATCTATCTGAGTGACACTGCCCCATTTCCCGTTGTTTACGCCCACGACCACTGCGACTGTATCGCCGACGACGATGTGTCTGCGCAAATGACGAAGCGGGACATGCACGGATAGATCGTAGATGTCGAGCTTGACGACGGCCGACTCGCCATCCACGTTTTCGATCCACGCCGTGCTACCTCGCTGCTCCCCTCCACAATCTTGACACGTTCATCGATTTGAAGTCCCTTCGCGTAGTGGTGGGCAAAGTACACCTCGACCTGGTCTTGTTGAAGTGAAAGAGGTTTAGAAGGGCTTGTTAGGCCAGTGGAAGTGAAGGACAGTAGAGTGGAGTGAACAGACCTATCCCAGAGGGAAGACTCTGATGCTAGGCAGGCAGAAGAGAGGAGAGATCGTTATCCATTAGGGGGGAATCACCCCAGTATATATACATGTCTGGGACTGATCACATGCTACATCAGTAAGCAGATCAGTAATCACTAAGTCCGAGTTTTAGGGAAATGAGTAAGCCTTAACTCCAGAGATAGGGATATGCATAAGCGTCCATGTGATCAAGGAATGTACTGGAAGGTCATGGAACATGCCGGAAGGGAGTGGAATGATCCAGAATAAGTCTGGAACAGTGTAGATCGGTCTGGAGCGAGTCACAAGATGAGTCCAGACAGAGTCCATCAAAAGAATGTATGTAATACTACATCGCAGAACACAAGTCCATATATGTACGTAACTGATAAGATAAGATAACACTGGAAAGTCGGAAGTTCAACACTCCCACTTGTTCAAGATGTCAAGTATCTCATCATGCCAACTGAAGACCTGAATTTCTCAATTCCACTGAATGGAACATTCTTGGTCAAGGCATCAGCAAGTTGGTCTTCACTTGCGACGTAGTAGATCTCCATTTCTCCACGTTCGTAGAACTCCCGAATATAGTGATAACGGATTTCTATATGCTTGGTGCGGCGATCCACAGCAGGGTTCACCGCAAGGAAAATGTTGCCTTGGTTGTCAAGACAAAGCGGAGTTGGATGAGACATATTATCTCCCAGTTCTTCTCCAAAATGACGTAGCCACGCCATCTGACGACAGCAGTCAGAGCTGGCCTTATACTCTGCTTCAGTTGAAGACAAAGATACCGTCGGTTGACGTCTTGACACCCAAGAAACGACACAATTGGCCATAAGGAAAGTAAAGCCACTTGTAGAGTGCCTATCATCGCGATCTTCACCCCAGTCAGAGTCTGAATAGGCAATCAGACCAGAATTCGAGCCTCCGTCATAACAGAGAGCGAGTTCCTTAGTCCCTTGAAGATATCTTAGGACATAGTAGGCTAACCGCATATGCTCTTTGGATGGGTTTGAAGAATACTTTGCCAGACGTGTGACCGCGAAAGAAATGTCTGGACGAGTACCGAGCATAGCATACATGATGCTGCCAATAATGCTCTGGTAGCGGGTACGGAAAACCTCAGATGCTGTGTCTGGATTCTTCTCTAGGTCTGCTCCAGCGGGAAGAGGTGTCCGTGCAGGCTTGCAGTTGGACATCTGAAACCTCTCCAAAACTGACTCAATATAGTCTTCCTGATCAACGTAGATGAGACGTGTAGTACGCTCTCGACGTATTCTAAGACCAAGGAATCGCTGAACAGCACCCAGATCTGTCATCTGATACTCTAAGGACAACTTCTGCTTGATGTTGTCGATAAACAATTTCGAGTCACCCATGATGAGCAAGTCGTCGACATACAATATGATTAGGCAGGTGTGTCCGTCAGAGTCCCGGGAGAAGACATAAATTCCAGCATCCGAATAAGTCCGTTTAAACCCTAAGTCTAGGAGAGACTTGTGGATCTTAGCATTCCATTGACGAGAAGCTTGCTTTAATCCATAAATTGCCTTCTTGAGAAGACAGACAAAGTTCTCCTTGCCAGGTACAACCCATCCTTCGGGTTGTTCCATGTAGATTTCCTCGTCAAGGTCACCGTTAAGGAATGCCGTCTTGACATCCATAGACTCTATCTCCCAATCTTCAAGGGCTGCATGTGCCAACAAGTAGCGTACAGATTCAAACCGTGCAACCGGAGAGAAAGTCTCAGTATAATCTTGACCCCATACTTGGGTAAATCCCTTTGCGACAACACGTGCTTTATAGCGACCATCGTGCTTAATCGCATAAACCCAACGGCACTTGACAACCTTCCGGTTTTTAGGCCGTGGAACTAGAACCCAAGTCTTATTGTCCATGAGTGACTTGTACTCAGAACCTTCAGCAGCAAGCCATTTATCATGGTCGTGAGATTCCATGGCTTCCTTATGACTTTGGGGAAGACCATGGTTCGCTTCCGCCAGCATCCGTATAAATTGAGCAGTTTCAGCCTCAGGTTGTTGACGGCCTTGACTATCAGTACGACGGTCAATACTTGCTGGTGGCTCGTCACCATAGGCATTGTCTCTATTCCTCTGAGGGTTCTGTCCAGCACCTTGACGGCGAGGACGCTCATACTGAGGTTGCGGAGGAGCTACTGGATCAGGTTGCTGTTGCGGATTATCTCCCACTGGCTCCTGATGTTCTTCAGGTTCATGTTCCGGCGGGACAGGAACAGGGATAGGAATATCCTCAAAATCTAGATCCTCTGAGTTGGCATCCTCAGGAGGTTCATCAAACGGCTCATCCAGGGATTTCGGATTATTGCCTAAGTCCTTTCGTGCAGGAAATGTCTCTTCATCGAAGGTCACATCACGAGACACAACAATACTTCGAGTAGCCGGGTTCCAGAAACGATACCCTTTGGAACCAACTTCATAGCCTACAAAGATCATCTCAACAGCCTTCTTGTCGAGCTTCCCAGATCTCTGTTCTTTCTGCACATGCACAAATGCCTTGCACCCAAAAATCCTAAAGTATGAAATATCCGGAATTGTGCCATTCCAGAGAGTAATGGGGCATTGCCAGTTAAGGCGTCGCATAGGTTGCCGATTATAAATATGAACCGCAGTGTCCACAGCCAATTGCCAAAAACCATGGCTTAGTCCAGCATGGTGCAGCATAGACATAGCCTTCTCAACAATGGTCCGATTCCAGCGCTCAGCTCTCCCATTCTGTTGAGGAGAGTACGGCATTGTGAACTGATGTTCAATACCAAATTTGCGCAAATGTTCGGTAAAAGCAGCAGACGTATATTCCCCCCCACGATCCGAGCGTACAGCCTTGATTTTTTCATCTGTTTGGTTCTCAGCCCATGCCTTGAAGTCATCGAACGCTTGGATCGAATCGTTCTTGTGCTTGAGATAATAGGCACGACCAAGACCAGTATAGTCGTCGAGAAAGCTGATGAAATAACGCCATCCACCTATTGCAGTGGTACGCATAGGACCGTCCTCATCAGTATGAATGAGCTCAAGGGGCTTTGTAGCACGTTTAGCCGATGGGGGAAATGGAGCGCGATGAGACTTGCCCCACTGACACCCTGCACAAGGAGAAGAAGTATCCTTGGCACCAATGGAATCCACACCCTTAGTGTGCTTGGGAATCTGACGAATAACATCTTCAGACGAATGTCCGAA